TTTGAAAACCTGAAAAATGCCAGTAACTGGTGGTATTACTTTACTGGTGCATAAAACTGTCCCAAGAGTAAAACTGACAACCAAAAGGCTAAAACGCAGATGTAGGATGAGATAACCATTTACAAGCCGGAGAGGCATTTTCTCTCTAAAACTGTCTTTCTCATTGGAAAAAGGTTCAGATTTAAGATACTTTGCATGCCATTGCACTCAGAGCTGTCAGTGTACTGTCCTCAAATAGAATAAAATCCAAGAAATACTGGAATTTGCTTTGATTTGTTTAAGTGCTGCCCACTAGTCATTATATTATCAAAGGACATCTCACAAAGCCTAATGTGATCTTCCATCTTGAAAATGGCAGAATGTGATAATTTGCTGATTTGACCGCTCCCACTTGAAGACTTCTGGTGAGAACACTGCATCTGGTGTGTTTGATAAAAATTAGGATGTCTTGCAACAACTGAACAAGAGCATGAAAATGTGAATCACATCTCAGATTAAAAAGAAAAATCTGTCGGTTCAGTCCAAAGATTTGTTGTCACCAACTACGTAATGTACTTTCCAAATGGGGAACTAAGCAAACACATCTGTTCAAATGCACATCACTGTACACATCAGTAAGCGATCACTTCGCTTGATTCTTCAGTTCAGGTTTTGATTAGACGTAAAGCTGGGTCCCTACTTGATTAGGGTTAATGAGGATTAACAGCATCCACTGTTGATACATGACATAGACAAAACCAGGTGGAAAAATGTCAAACGCATCTAAAGTTAAGTGAATATGAATCAAGAAGGAACAAAAACCAATCAAGAGTGCTCTGATGCTGGCTAGGGTATCAAGATTCAACATAGCAAGGTTGTTTTTTTTTTTGTTTTTTTTTAAGGTGGATAGGACAGGAAAAAAGGTGATTTTGATTTAGCAAAAATGAATCATCTTATTTGAATTAAGTTCAACTTTACAGGTTTGTCTTACTAGTTTCCCAAATACAGTAAAATAAGAAAGAAATCAGAATATAAAAGGGGGAATTGATATTTTTTTTCTCCCTCTAAATGACAGCATGACAGAAAAAGTCTGAGAACCAATGCTTTAGCTCATGCCTGTCAGTCTCCAATGAAGGGATCTTAAATGGAAAAAAGCTACAGTTGGGCAGTAATACAGATGAGTCAGGACAGCTTTCTTTTTTTTTTGCTTGATATTGTTGGGACAACCTTTTTCTCAAGGGTACCCTATTCTTTTGCATGGAATTTGAAAACTGTGTGAAGCCACTGATTATAACTCATTTGTCTTCCAACTACACAAAATGATTCATGCTGTTCTTCTTAAGACACCTCATCCCTGCCACTCCTCCTTATCAAATTATTTCTATTTCAGCAAGTTGTGTATGACATCCGGTGGACAATGTTGCCAAGACATGAGCACAGTTCCTTGGAAAAACATTACACAGTCACCACCAAATTCCCCCAACAGATAAAAGAAACACTCCAAAAAGTCTTTGCAAAAAACAGTCACATCAACCGTATGAAATCACACACTTTCTTATATCCAAAAATACAACATTTCCTCATCGACTTTTATGACAATATCCCGTGTTCCCAAGGTGAAAGGAAACACCTCATAGCTTCCATGTGTCACTTCCTGCTCAGTAGCTAATTCCCACAAGTGAGACTGGAATTTCTAACTAAGCCAGTTGGTCAAGAAAAAGAAGCTTATGATGAAAAATGGAAAAGTTAAATAGAGCAGGCCCTGACGAATGCTGTCATCAGATTCCTAACTATCTGGGCACTTTTCATGAGGCTCAAGTGGCAACATTTCTGCAAGAAAAAGAAAAAAAAGAAAAAAGCTTTGCCTTCTGATGCTCTTTTTGCAATATTCTTAGTTCACGGAGACAATCTGCTTTACAAAAACAGCAATGAATGTCTATGTAGGCCGGAAAAATGTGTGGTCACTTCCAGAGGAATTTGTTTATACAAAAGCTGAAGTGTCCTGGTGTGCCTCTTTGGTTTCAGTTCTCACCCTGCTAGCCAAAGCGTACTGCTTCAGAGTGAGTCCTAATGTTGTAGGTCACACAGCGGTAGGTAAGTTTTGGATGACAGAACAATGCCTCCGATCTTTGTCAGCACAATGAGAAATTGCGTTGTCGTCCTAATCCAGCGATTTGATTCAGTTGGTTTCTGCTCGTGCTGCCCAAACTGACTCATGATTGGAGGCACTATGTGTCACATACTTCAGTTTGGATTTGGGTCAGCCGCTGTTAAGAGATACCCCGGTGCATTTATTGTTTCCAAGGTGTCTGAGGAACAATCGCCATTGTTGTGTGTCAGTGCTGCCCTTCAAGCTGTATCTGAATACAGCAGGAAATAAAGAAAGAGAGAGAGAGAGCCTTGGTCTTTTATGTGACCCCAGGGAGCGGATGTTTCCTCCTTTCATGCAAAGACGAATTCACCTGAGCGTGAAGCTAAAGTGGCCCTGACTTAGTGGTTTCCAGGCGTCCAGGTTCACTTCATTAAATGAGACGCCAGGGAACATTTTTAGACTTCGGCGAGGGAGAGAGGAAGAGCTGGATAAGATGTTACAGAGATACAGCGAGAGGAGAAAGGCAGACTTGCGCCGAAAAGAGCATGAGAGAGACAGATTTTTCTATACTCTCGTATTACCCACACGCAAAGCCTTCCTGTCATGCATGTCCGTGTTTGTATAAACTGCTGTAGCTGATGGTTCCTCTCAGTCAGGTTCGGTATTTCCTCGCGTTAATCAAAGCAAGACCCAAGCTGGTGCTGAGATTGTGCGATGAAGACCTTTGAGGTGGAGTTCTGACCATTTTATGGACATAGAGGCTATAAAACTATCCAGGGATTAATATATACCTTATACACATGAATACTCTGGTCACCTGCCAAAGGAAAACACTGGCTGTGGCCATCTGTTCTTTGAAGTTTATTGGTAGCTAGTTAACTAATGGTTATATCTGTTTTAGTGAGAGTACCCAATGTTATGCATTGTGCCCTGACTGAAAACAGTGGTTAAATTTTGTTTCAGATGTCCTCTTACACTTGTTTAATGGACACCTGCTCAGACACAAGTGGACAAGGTGTAAAGCACACGAAAAATGATACTTTCATGATACCAAAAATGCAGCAGCAAAACATTTTACTGATTGGTTCTTTCAGAGTAAAAGTCCCCTGGGCGGCTGCTAGTATATCAATCGTTAGAAAGAGAAAACGAGAATTCGGATCCCAAGACCACCAACAACCCTGATTAATTACATACACTAAAGCCTCTTTCACTTTGGTCTCTGTCACTGAAAACAATACTTTCCTGTAAGGTGTCAAACTCCCACTGATGAGCGGACGGATAGATTTCACTTCAGGTCTTTGTGCGACGGTTCCACCCTTTAGGGACAAGAATACCCTGCCTCAGCGAGGGGCTGAGGGACACACAGATCAGTCCTGACTCCACAATACTTGACTAATGGACATCTCTCACATGTCTGAGCCACAATATGCTCATTGTCTGTCTGTTTCACTCACACACTCTCCATATTCACAGCATATGTGTGATCGAGCACACACACACACACACACACACACACACACCTCTTATTCTCTCCCTGCTCAGAAACCTGTTGGCCTGCCAGCACTGGAAAACTTGGACAAGATCATCTGCAAGAGTTCATCATGCCTTGAATATCCGTTTGGCAGCTCGCACGATTGGAGAACAATCAAGATACTATTTCAAAACCTCGCCGGTTAACAGTGGGATGCATTATCTCACTTATAACCATGTGAATAACAGTGTACAGTCAATTTACAAATCGAGTGTTGTGCCCGTTTCCATGGATTCTGTTTATGATATAAAAGGACTGAGAAGACTTGGGTCTCACACCCAGCAAACTGGACTTTTTTATGTATTAAGTTATGGCCCCAGATGTGAACTAGCCTCTCTCGTTAGGTAGGGAAGGACCTTAATCCAAAGCAGTAGATTTCAAAATACTGGGTCCCAGTCTAAAGGCAGTTTGACATAAATCAGACCAGAGAAATGTGCTGCTGAATCCCCACCAGCAGACGTCTTGTACAGTATCATTAAGGTGGCTGGTAGAGGCGTTTCTTATATGCATAGGTAAGTCAAAGATTTACATGTAAATGATAAGAATGTATCATAGCTGGCATCTCATTCAGAATTAAGAAACTTCTCTTACCAAATGAGTAGTTTCATTTTAATGTGTTGTTGTATTCGAGATATCAGTCTCGGTAATCAGGACATTATTTTGAAAGATAGAGAGATAAACTGATGAAATTCCATTAACTTACATTGTAACTGTGTTGTGGCACTCTCATTGGTGGAAGCTTTGGGACATAGTAAAAGTCCCATTCATTTTTCCCCACAGACAATGTTACGTGACTCACAGTTAAAGCGCTTCTACAACTTGGATGGATATGAAACTCTCCCTTTGGAGTCATCTGTCAAAAGAACACACAGCTGTGATAGAAAATGTCTGGTCCTTTGACAAAAAGGTGAAGGTATAAGCCTGTAAAAAAAAAAAAAGTGCATTTCTGCAAGAATCAATCACAATCTTATAGCTCCCTTACGTGTGCCACTGAGGGCAGAAAACAGGCTGAGGATTTCCATGTTGAGAAATCTGAAAACATTCTACAGCTCAAAATCAGTTCACTTCTGGATTCTGGGACAGTTTTGGATGAATTCAGAAACTGTGGTGCTATGTTTCGTTCTCAAATTCTACAATAAAAGCGGTTTGAATCTGCTACTGCTCTTCTTTTTTTTTTACAGCAGCTGAGGCTCACGGGGTTTTGTAGTATTTAGGGTTAGGGTTAGGTCTCTGCATTTTTTGTATTTTTCAACCCAAGCCTTAAGCAGTAAAACTTGATGTTGGCAGCATGAGGAAAGAGGCAGATTAGTCCTGACAGCATCCCAGTGGGCGTGAGCTTAAATTGAAATAAACACCTACGACTTGTGCTTAGCAAAATCCCAAATAAACAGTGGTTACCTGTGAGTCAGGCTCCATGTAAGGGCTTGTCTTGCCATCTTCACTAACAGTTGGCGACCACACTCTGTCTCCCGGTCCCGACCTGAAAGACAATACCCATGAGAGAGAAAGAGAGAAAGAGAGAGAGAGAGAGAGAGAGAGAGAGGATGAGTCTCGGATAAATCTTGTGCCACCTAACACCCAGGCATCGAAGCATGCAGTCATTTCTGCTGAGAAGCGTGAATTTTTCTTTCCACACAAGATTCCTGCGCATGAAGTGTAATTATTTCTGAGAGTGGATGTTGAAAAGAGTGAAAGATACTATTTACTGTAATCGTCTTATAATTACTGTGAGATGGGAAAAATGACAACTGCAGCGTCCCATGATATCCCATAACTGTTGTGTAATAGGAGCGGTGCAGGTCCTCTTTATGTGCCAGAATAATCACATATAGCTACAGTTAACAAATCATTTACTGTACTGGTAGCTTTGTGCGAGTGAGTGTATGAATGTATGTGAATGTGGATTTGTACATTTGGCAGGTTTTCACATTAGGAATGGGATAGGGCTACGTCCTGGCTTCCTCCCACTGGTACAAAGATAAAGTCATCATCACATCATAACTCCAGCGTATGAACTATCCAGAACGCACAGCAGTCTGGGCCACAGACTTTTCAAAAGTAGTGATAACTGAATTACTGGTATTTGGGATCCCCCCCCCCTCCTGCTGAGATTCCTAGTAATTGACTCCAGTTGCACATACTTAAAAAAAAGGACATGACTTACTGACTGGCAGCAATGATAAAATACATTATTTACAGCGCTGCTGAATGGGCCTACTGTGCGTGCATAAGCAGAGGTCCCACATAATTTATTTTGTTCTTTAAAAAGGCAGAGAATTAAATGCTTTGGTGAAACTAAGAGTGTGCAACTTGTTCCTCCTCACTGTGATTCATCACGAACAGTTCACATGCATTGCCGTTTCACTTTCAAGGTACATGTTGAAGTAGTTGCGGTTTGCGTGTCATATAAAAAAGATCTGAGGAGACTTCTTTGGTTCATCGAGTTTTTGTTGCCATGGCGCGGGCGGATAAGCGGGAAAGCATCCAACTGCCAAAAGGGTAACACCAGGACATTGCACAGAGTAACTACAGGACAGCGTGCGTCTTTGTATGTGTCTTTGTGTGTGTGTGTGTGTGTGTGTGTGTATGCGCGCTTCACTTCACTCATTCACACCTCCTACCACAGAGAGATAAAAAACTATTAACTGCATGTGTGTGCGTGTGTGTGCATGTGTCTGGTGTGTGCGCTTGCATGCGTTGATTTGTCCATCCCACAGGGCGGAGAACTGATGTCTACAGAGGTGAGGTCATCAGGCTGCAGCTGGCACGGCGTTGGCTGAGCTGAGGCAATGCTTCAGATATGAAGCGCGGAGGTGTTGCTATCAAGGATGTTCTTATGAGGCGCCGAGTGTCTGGCAAGACAAGCAACAGCTACTGCGTAGGATCCTCAGACAGAAAGCCTTCGTGTTTTCAGATTGTTTGGTTTCGATGGTTACCGCACAAACAGCCTATTGAAATGAGTCAAAGTTCAGTCTGAAGTGGCCTATTTGAACTGACATTTTTGGAAATGCAAGAGAGATACATGGAATTTACCGTCAATCCAATACAGTGGAGCTATGAACGCCGAGGCGTGGGTGGACACTGAGGGAGAGACCAATTTAAAATTAACAGTGTTTCACTCATGATATTGGAGGTCAGTCTTGAAAGTGACGTCAGCTACATACTTGAAATTTGAAAAAAATATTCCACTGGGAGAACGACACTGCTGGCTGTTTTTGGCTTCAACGCACAGCTACACGTAATCTGACATTTCAGATTTTGAGCAATGGACATAATCTAGTTTTATTTTTCTGCCAGAGAGGAAACTGTTCTGGACCATCTCAAACGTAACCCAACAGAAACGGCCACAGCAGACAGAAACAATCTGCTGCACACAAGTTTGATCACAGACAATGAACTGTATTGTTAGTTTCTCTTTGCCGGTATTGGTTCAGTGTGTGAGGGATAACCCTGGACTGTCCGATCCAAGCAATAAAAAGCAGCAAACCTGTATTAACCAGAATACCATGATCTGCACGGCTATAGGAATATTAAAATCGAGTTTCAGACTTGAGTGGCTGTATCTCATCTCACTAAAACCTCCTCTTACTGTTGCCAAAAGGTATTCTGAGAAAACTGATCGCCACAGCAGCATTGTGCACTCTGTTTCTTAACAGAGATTCACAATGATAAATTGGATAGGGGCGAATAGACCCAAACTCATTCCTTAAGTGCCGTCTTTGATTTCCACCCACCGGCTCCGCTTCTGCTCGTAACTAAATACATCAATGTCAAACAAGACTGAATACGGACAGGAAAAAAGAAAAGTAAAAAAAAAAAAAAAAAAGTTAAAAGACAGAGGGTGAAAAGACAACACATGGGGAGCTACTTTTCTAAAATCCACATGTTTTCATTATGGTGACCAATATATTAAGTTTTTGTTAAGATGACCACAAGTTGTTTGATAATCCTCATTCATAAAACACTTTAAAAAGCAAGACAATTACATAAATCACATAATATTGACAGGAAAGGCCATAAAACTATCATAAAAATTGTAAAATGAAAGAACAAGGAAAAATAAACCCATAAAATTCGGTCACAGAAGATTGAATATAAATGGGTTCATGACAAAAACATATAAAAGTAAAAAAAAAAGAAGGACAAAACATACATAAAGCAGCACAGAGAAAAGAAAGTCTCAGGTCATCACAACAACTTTTCCAGTCTTTCCTTTGGTTATACCCCCCCCACCCCCCCACCCCCACCAGGTTTAATTTCCTGATTGGGGAGATCTGGATTTTGGAGCAGCAGATGACTTTACTTTGGCTGCACAGGATCACCATGTTCGAGGAGGAGCATGAAAACCGAGTGCCCTCAAATTAAGATGCGGCTGATCACGGAACATTTCAGGGTTCACACAAAGAGTCCGGCCTCGCTTCATCAAAACCCATCTGAATGAGGATGGTTTTCAGCCCTATCGTACATCAGACACCACTGGAGATGCTCCTCCTGTTATTTGGTTCTGTGAAAGGAGCTTAAATACTTCCTCCTCTGTGAGTAAAGACAGACAATCATCCTTTAAAGAGCAGTTATTGGGTCTTGTCAGGAGACCTGATGGGTCACTTGGAAAAATATGCATCTGGGTGATGACAAGATCAATGCAAGGGGGGAAAAAAAAAAGGATAGAGGGATTGAGCACCCACCTCTCCTTCCCCTCCTCCCCTTTTTCTACAACACAGGCTCTTAAACTCCACTGATGCTGCGTTTATGACCACCACAAAAAAGAGACCTTGGGAGAGCGTGAGAGGGATGACGTGATGAAGGGATGAAGGAGGAGATGAAGGCAGCGGTGCTGGTGGTGGTGGGGCATGTGTGTGTCAGTCGGTTCCTTTTGGGAGGCTCCTTTTTTTTTTTTTGTTCTTTCTTTGTCCCAGTTGGAGTCCTGTGTTCCTTTGGTCCCATGCAGCCTCGTGCATAATTCCTCAGCTGTGAGTCACAGGTCGTGGAGTCAGAGCCAGACAGCAGGGGCGAATCCTGCACCGGAGCGTTCTGACTGCGTCTTTTCTCTGCCTGTTTTCCCTGATTCCTCCTGAATCCTCCGCCCTGTGTTTTGTTTTGATTTTATTCTCCAGATCATGATCGGATTTTATGTTTCTCCCCCATCAGGACTCAGACATGCAATCACATAAATGCATTACACATCACCTCAACCCCCTTATCCTGGCCTTTACCCTCAACTAAAATCAATCCAAACTGAGACCTTGATCCTAAATAGTAACAAGCAAAAATATTTCTCAAAACTCCTTGTCTTTGTAAGGACATTTCTCACTGACAGTGACATCACTGCATTATAATCTTGATTTCTACAGTGTGGCAGAATAGTCCCAACTCAAAGGTCCACTTACTAGCCTTTTAGGAGCTTTTAATCAGTCAGTGGATGGCTGGAGAAAGATCAAGCGGACGATTTCCATTCAAATCCACACAGCATCTTTGCACTGAGACAGAGCTTATGATCTCATATTTGTTGTTCTCAGGTAACCCACGGTTTACACTCATGTAACGAAATTGTAAAACACTCACGCCATTTTCAGTCACTGATGAAGACTGTGAGATGTGGCTGAAAGCTTTTTAAAAGTTAGTAACCCTTGGACCTATATGCTAGTGAAAATGACCATCACTGTTTTTCCATGTATTTTTCTGGTTAACTCGTGGTGAAGAAGAGGTATTGAACTACGAGATGAAACACTCACATTTGTAACTTTGCTTTGAAGACCCTGTACAAGTTCAGTTCAGCAAAAAAACATTGTTTTTAAGCTTTGGCGAGCGGTTAGACCGACAGTTTCAGTTTAATGTGCCTCGGTTTTGAGAATATCTATGTCTTAATCTTCTGTTGCCCCCCGCCCAATAAAATGGAGATGAATGGATTCCAGTGAAAACTCTTTATAGCGAGGTCTCCGGACTAACCAGCACAAATTAAATTCCATACAGCCCCATTAGAAGCATTGGATATATGAATGAACTGATCCTTTAAGCTCTAAACCATCTGCAGGCCAAACTTCATTCCAGCCTCGACCTAACTGTAAATTTTCCTTTCTACAGTAAGTGAAATTGAAAGAAGAACAGCGGGGTGTCCCTATTTCACAAGACTTTTTTTTTTTTTTTTTCAGAATTCAAGAACAAGAGTAACACACACACAGCTCAGGCATCATGACTCATTTCTCAGCACATTTAACATGCCACCCCAGCAGGAGTCTTTCCGAACAGCTTGACCGGCGGTGGAAACACACATCCCAACCGCCATCATCTGTTCCTCAGGCCTCTGCAAACCGCATGGCTTTCTCCAAGAAGCTCTGGCAGATGGGGGGAAACTGCAGGGAGGTGAGGTCAGGGTGGAAGACAAGAAGAGATGGCAAGAGAGAGAGAGAAATATGAAGAGGAGATATAAAAAGAAGAAACAGAGCGGGATGAGCAGAGTGGGATTTACGGTTTGGAGAGGGA